TTTATAAATGTAATATGTACTATTTTCTTTTAATAGTATGCACTTTAATTGTCTGACAAATCCAAGTACCTAAGTAATTTTTATAAATCTAATAAATTAAACATATAGATATGGTGAACCTAATTTCCCTTAAATGTTTCACTAATGTATATAAGCTTAATAAGTTTTTTACTTAAAAAACATGAAATCTACTCTTTCCCATCCTGCAAGATGGTGGGTGAAAAAGTTGAGAAGCCAAATGCTAAGGAGAAGAAACCTGAAACCAAGAAGGCTGACGCTGGTGGCAAGGTGAAAAAGAGTAAGCTCAAGGCTAAAAAGCAGAAGAAGGGGAAACCCCACTGCAGCCGAAATCCTGCCCTTGTCAGAGGAATTGGAAGATATTCCCGATCTGCTATGTATTCCAGAAAGGCCTTGTACAAGAGGAAGTACTCGGCAGCTAAATCCAAGATGGAAAAGAAAAAAAAGGAGAAGGTTCTTGCAACCGTTACAAAACCAGTTGGTGGTGACAAGAATGGTGGTACCCGAGTGGTTACACTTCGCAAAATGCCTAGATATTATCCGACTGAAGATGTGCCTCGAAAGCTGTTAAGCCATGGGATAAAGCCCTTCAGCCAGTGTCGGTGACCTGCACTGACCAGGGAAGGGTTAGGACGGCACCGGTGAATCAGAACGGAGAGAAGAAAACTACTCGGAGGCAGCTCTTCTGGGAACAGTCTGGCCAAGACTGAAGCCCATTTTATTCAAACCTTTTCCAACTTATATACCATTTTCTATACCCTCCAGCAATGTGATAATCACTCACTGGGGGCGTACAAGTTTCGTGCTTTACAAACTATGCATCACAAGACCACCACGAGATCTGCAATTTCCAAGCAAACAATTCAAATTCCATGATGCCTGCCGTGCTTACATCAAGGTCACAGGTGCACAATTTCAATACAAATCGTTCAAAGTGTTTTCCATAATGTTCAACGAATCATTCATATTATACTCTTTGCTCTATACCCTGATTAATACAAAAAACTTTCCTGAGTTAACTCTAGGTTCAATCCAAGTTCACTGATTCCCAATATTTTTAACAATTAATATTATCAACTTAACACTATACTATTAACCTATTACAATTTAACATAACGCCTTATAACTCAGTTAAAACTTATTCTTAAACTACAAAACTTTACTATAATTCATGTTTCATATGTCTAAACTTTAATTTTCATATGATCTAGTTATTGGACTTTAATACTATGCTATATCCTATTAAGCTAATACCTTATCGTTAATTCTTTTATAAATCATATAGTAACTATTACACTTGAATAATGTAGCAAAAGGAATCAAAACAGCAAGCATAGATTTACGCAGCTATGAGTGTATATGTATATATTTTATCCCAACAAGTCTACTCTAG